AAATTCTTTTTTTTTTTTCTTTTTTTTTTTACAAAAATTACTAACATTATTTTTTATAGCTGGTGTGCTTAGTTCAATATTACAAAGAATGAACCCAATTTGCAACACAAAGTTTACAATCAGTTTTTCTACAAACGCATTAATGGGTCAGATAAAATGCATAAAAACTCACAAAAACCACAAATGATGTGAAAACATAAATATAACAATGTAAAATGCAACATAAAAATAAAAGGTAAATAAAAAAAGCAAAAACAATAATAAAGAGAAAGCAAAGCAGATGTGCTCTGGTGATGTTGAGGTGGATTAATAGCATGTGAGGAGCTGGTAAAAATATTAAGCCATGTTACAACTAACATGTAAAAACCTAATGAAGTTTTTACTAACACTTAACTGACATTCTATGATCTGTGACATGAGAAATACACATAAAAATAAGGCTGAAAATTACACTCACCTAGCTATCCAAGAAGTGCATTAGCTTAAGTGCCACTCCGGGAACGATTTCAAATGTTTGAACTTTTCTATGTATGTATTCTGTTCTTTTTTTGGGAGGGAGGGTGGAGGGGAGCAATAATTAATGTCCCTACAATTACGATGATAGAAACAAAGAAATCATTAAACAAGGGCTTTTTTCCCCCCAACGGTCCTGCCATCTTGCACACTTGCATGCCCACCGAATATGAGCCACTGCGCCCCATTCTGTTCCCCCCTCAAACTTGATGGTTGTTGAACTTATTTTTAGTGTCATTTGATAAGCTTCCCTGCTTGCACTGAGACATCCCACTGACCCAGCCACTGGTCATTGTCTATACCACTTCCCGTCAAAGCCGGCACGCTTTGTCAGATTTCGACTCGAATATCCATTTTGCATCTGAAGTAGCGTATCGAAAGTGACTGGATCGTTCGAGCCTTTTTCTTCAGCTGCCGCCCCCTTCCTCCCCCACAGTGTTTCCACTGACACTGACATCATTCGCGATCGTCGTCGTGACAGCGCGTTAAAGAAATCTAAAATAAATATATATATTGCTCGCTTTTCTGTGCGCAAGTGGAGGGGGGAGTGCGATGTGGATAATTTCTGGAAAGGAACAATACTCATCCGTCCGTCGCCCCTTTCGGTTTGATCTTCCGAGTATATCGGATGAGGGTGTCACATTAGCACAGCTGAAGAACTCCTTAATTTCCACAGAAAATCTCATGAGAGGTCAAACCTTATACAAAAGAAGAATCTCTAAAGTTGCCTTAAGATCTATCAAAGTTTGATATTCCAATGCCAAGAGAACTTGTGCACAACATTTGTGGAGATCGGGTGGTGGGTGGACAGCTGTATTGATGTGTTAAAACTTTAACTGAGGGGCATGTTTCCGAATTGTGAAGGTTTATGCATTAGTGAGCACAGAACAGACTGCCAAATAAATGGGGAGGAAGCACCAACCACCAGAGGTAAATCTGTCCCTCAAAACCTTGCCGGAAAGCTTTGGTCACAGGGTGTCTTGCGGTGCAATAACGCTCTATTAATTTCTCTGCACTGTCCTCGCATTGATAGAAAGGTGTCTTCACAAACTAAAGGGCAAAGTCTTACTGCGTCCGATACCTTAGGGCGTTCTGTCTACAATTTGTCATGCGTGTGCACTTCTCAGTATTAAAATGACAAGATCTCCAGTCAAAGAGGCCCCGCTAGGCATCTGACAATAGTGGGCTTGGAGAGATTTTTGTGAAGAGACACTGCCAAGAGGCAAAGTACTACTGCACTCCATGAGCCTACTGGGATTAGTTCTACTTCTCAGCCAACGGCAAAGAGCCTCATCTCATTCTGCTTCTTTTTTTTTTTTTTTTTTTTTAAATAGCTCATCTCATTCTGCTTCTTTTTTTTTATTTTTTTTTTTAAATAGCCTCCGTCTGTGTCCATAAGATTAGTTTTTTTTTTTTTCTTTCACAGAAGGCACAATATGGTCAGAACATGAAAAAGCCTTTGCTGTGCATTAAAGCTAACCAGATCAGCTGCAAAATCAGACACTTTTTTGTTGATCTATTTAGTCATCCGCTTGCCGTTCAGTAGCTTGAGAGATACCAGAATTATAAGTTTTGGAAAGCCAATACTTGTAAAGCGCTGAAACAAGATACTCTGAAGTGGCCAATGATAAGCTATATCATCTCGAGGAAATTACGTTTTTTCTGTTGTTCCATCTGATATACTTGGAAGTCAAAGTATTTCAGAGACGGGATGCTGTCGTCTATTGATGCTGCACCCGATTGAAATTCATACAGCGTCCCTAGAAGAAAAAGAAAAGGACAAAGGAAGATTTGATTAATTAACTGATTGATTGATTCATCCATTTTTAGTAATTCGTATTTTCGTATTATAACTATTATTACATTCATTAAATTATTGGAAACAATAACAACAACAACAATAATAATCATAATAATAACAATACATACATTTTTGTGCCTTTATATATATATATAATAAAATTACAGTATTTCTGATTTTTTTTATTTCCCTTATGTATAATACTATGTACAGACATCAATCATCATGGCTTTTTTTTCAAAATGGACCTCACGTCACTTGTCCACAAATATTTAATTTCCTTTAAAATATTATAATACATACAACACAATAATAAAATAATAATAAAATTTAAATGTATGCATATATTATATTGATATATATACATAATAAAACATCATATCATGGGGTAAATGTCCTTGGAAATAAAAATATAAAAAATTAAATTACTGATCAAATTTCCCTCACAAATAACAAGTGTATTATTATTATTATTGTTATTATTATTATTATCATTACTTTTCAAAAATATAAATTTTGAGTATTTCTGTTGAAAATAATTTTAAAATAATCCTGAAAAATGTGGTGGTTGCTTGTGCTTTATTTTGGCACAGAGTGTCAGTGTATCTCCCATTGCTCTATAGTGTGTGTCTCATCAGCTGGAGAAACTGGGTACACTGGCACCAAGAGGGAGCTCTCGCCTAGCGTATAACCACCATACACACTCTCGCATGCATTCTCACGCTCACACACACACACACACACACACACAATTATGCGCAGGATTTATAAATATTCTACTGAACCTAAGGATTTTTAACACTGAGAGCTAATATATTTTTCCCAACATGTTTGACTGATAACTAGTGTGTAACAACCAACAATGAAAAACTAACATCACAGTAGCCTGCCCTAGTTTCAAGTCACAACTGGCATTAGATATTGGAAGAATCCCAGCGTCTTCATAGACTATCCATGAATACGGGGCTTTACGTTGTCCTTGCATTGTAAGCCAAGTGCGGCGCACCCTCTGCGATAGATCTCACTCCGTCAACAAATAAGGCACATCAGATGCTGTTTTGGCCACCGTCGATTGTGTGGCTAAGTTTCCTGGATTTTGCAGGCTTTGAAGCAGGAACTCTGAAAAGCTGTCCGCCTTCGTTACAAAGGCTGTGCGAGGCTCTGCTGTAGGAGTCGACCAGGTGCCGAGCAATACGGTCATACCCAAACCCACGGTCAGACACATTTTAACTCTATCGCTCCCGGGCTAGAGCACTTGGCATTGGACACTACGCAATGTCACACTGAGACAGACAGAGCCCACCTGTGCCACGAGAATAGAAGGACCATGGGCTAGATGTCAAGGTGATGACATTGGATAGGATGTTGTGGGTAAAAGTAGAGCGAGTATGCTCAAGAGACATTTTTACATGTTCTTCTCACTTGAGACTTGCGGAATGCAGTTGTCAAGAGGAGATGGATTTAAAATGTTCCATTTCCTTTGTGTCTAAATTCTTTTAGATTGTATAAATACAATTCTATTTCAATCAAATCACTGTGAATTTTGGTTCATGTTTATAAAATGAGCCTGACTGCAAGTTCTTTGCACTAAATCGGTCAATATGCAGAACAAATAACAGTTCAATTAGGATCCCACGAAGGCACAAATATCAAACGACATCAGTTGAAAGTTGCTGAATACATAAAAGCGGGAATAATTACACCACACAGTTTATTAAAAACTGGAAAGAGACTTGATTGGCCTGATCAGAGATTTCTCATGGTTTCATGCCATCTTTAAGAGATCACACAAGGCTCAGTTCATCAAGAGCTTCACCTCTGTGACCCCACACATATGCTACACCTATACAGATCAGTCAAACAGAGACGGCCTGTTGGGGGGCCATCATTACCCCTCCATCTCTGCTCTTTGGAGCACTCTCCGAGCCGCACCATTCTGACGGTCACCAGACTTCACAGAAAGATGTCTGCTGCTCTGATTAGCCGTGTGCTTGGGCACCTGTCCAAAGGAGGAGTCTGCATGTGTTTTTGCATCTCATCTTCAGCTAGCCACTCTCTGGAACAGCTTGATTCCCCCAACCCTAGAACTCCCAGAGGAGCCGTCTTGCACTTTCTGTTCTTTAAAGGAGTGAGATCCAGGAATTGAGAAAGGTGGAACTTGGAAAGTAGCCCATGTCCTTCTCAGGACCATTTCATCCCATGCAATGAAGAGCATTTTATTCCCCCCAAAAGATGTATAACAGTATGTACAGTATTATTTGGTCTTTACATTATTTGTCCATTTAGCTGATTTCCTTAAAAAGTACAGTATTATAATACATAAACATATAAAAAAAACTGTAGGTATATAATGTATATATAATTATATTAAATGTTATACTTTTTAACACTATTGTTAAAAAGACAGTAAGATCTTTAAGATTTTTTGAAAGAAATTATTACTTTTATTGGCCAAGGATGCATTAAATTGATCAGAATTGACACTAAAAACATTTATAATGTTAAAAAGATTTCAAATAAATGCTGTGCTTTTGAACTTGCTATTCATAAAAGAATCGGGTAAAATTATTAAGCAGCATAACTTTTCATTTTTTTAAAGAAATGTTTCTTGAGCAGCAAATCAGAATATTAGAATGATTTCTGAAGGATCATGTGACACTGAAGACTGAAGTAATGACTTACTTCAGTACGTCATTTATTTACTTAAGTACTTTTAATGATGTAAAATTCAGCTTTTCCATCACAGGAATTATTTACATTTTAAAATATATAAAAACAGCACAAGACTATTTCACAATATTACTGTTTTACTATTTTGATCAAATAAATGCCGCCTTTGTGAGCATAAAGGGACCCCTTTAAGAAATATTAAAAACATTTATTATGGAATTTGATGGTAGTGTGTGTGTGTGTGTGTGTGTGTGTGTGTGTTGTTTGTGTGTGCGCAAATTTTAAATGTTATATCAATACATTTGAATTTAATTGTTGTTTATATACTTTTAATTGTATAAACAATTGATGTATACATTATAAGAGCATGCATTAGTTGCAAAAATGCAAAATATATAAGTTTTACATGCAATATACGGTATAAAAAATTTTTTCTTTCATTGAAACCTTTCTGTCTTATTTATAAAAACTACTGTGACATTACAAAGAAAAAGGTCTGCCTCCAAAACCCTTTCCACATATTGAACATTTTAGAAGATCAGAATGGAACAGGAAGTGCAGCTGCAAACAGACCTAGGGAAAATGCCAGAATGTGAGCAATCCTGCACTCTAGAGCTGGCCCCCACTATCTCCACACCCATGGTCCACATACGGCCCACATAGCACCGCCATCTGGTCTGGTGGAGATTCAGAACCAAGCCAAGAGAGCCTAAAATCTAACGCCTGCTGACAACTTGGATACATTTTCCAGTCATTAAAAAGTGATATAGGCACTGGAACAGTGAATACATTAAAGCCTCAAGAAAAGGACAGTTTGAGCCACCAGAAACAGTGAAGAAGCTCTCGAATTTACAGTTGAGAAACTGTAGCTGTCACGGATGAATCAAACGGATCCTTTGACAAGCATTACATTTTGAAAAAAGCATGTCAGCATGAGTCTCACAGGCTCTGGAGGACCTACTAATGCTCTACCCGCAGCTTGCTTTGAAAGTGAGAGCTGACAGCGTGGTGGTGATCCCTGTAATTTAAGTCCACAGTCACAATGAGCCACAATGTCTTTTGGAGGCACACAGGCGCTGTAAATTACAAGGGTATAAAATACCCCCTCCTGCTGGCACAATATTTACAGCAAGTCCTGCTGGCTCAAATCAAGTCTTTTGGGTAAATAAAGTGGCATATGATCAGCAATCAAGAGTTGATGACTACCGGATTGACCCAAGAGACAGGAGAATGATGGTTTTTAATCTTGAGACAAAATCCAACACTGGCATTAGGTGTCATGATGTTTATGCTCACATTTTAGGTATAACATTAGAGGCAAAGTTGAGAGTAAACAAAAACAGACTCTGCAAACCATTAACCTCTACTTGCTTATGCATCTGCCACAGATCTGTCTTTACAAGTTAATTCAAGCAAACACAGTAAATTATATATATATATATATATATATATATATATATATAATTTACTGTGTTTGAATTAAGCCCTATAAATGAAGATAGTTTTGTGGACCTAATCAGTTGACCCATAGACCACCACATTATGTCAGCAGTGTAAAAATAGGTAAGGACTTATGACTGGACAATCACTATATTTTTTAAAGTTATAGTCCAACTAAAACAACTGAAATTCATGAAATTCATGCATCATGTCATTCACAAAAGAAGGTATTTTGAGGAATGTCTCTCTCTCTCTCTCTCTCTCTCTCTCTCTCTCTCTCTCAGATCAGCTATTATAAATAGAAAAATAAAAACAATTTACACCATTCGAAAACCACTGTTCTTTACAAGTTAATTCAAGCAAACACAGTAAATTATATATATATATATATATATATATATATAAAACACATGACTGAATCTAGTTATGTAGGTATTGTCCACTATATATGTTATATAGTGATTGTCCAGTCATAAGTCCTTACCTATTTTTACACTGCTGACATAAAGTAGTGGTCTATGGGTCAACTGATTAGGTCCACAAAACTATCTTCATTTATAGGGCTTAATTGTGAATAGATTAATAAGGTTAATTTCTAAGGATTTGTAAGGGTTGATGGGTTAATTTTTAGGTTTAATTGTGAATAGATCAGCTATTATAAATAGAATAATAAAAACTATTTACACCATTCGAAAACCACTGTTCTAGCCTTTCTGTTTGTTTCTTTCTATTTTTTATTTATTTTTTTATATAATTTTTGCAAGCATTTTATTTTCTTTCATTTTGTGACTGGCAACAGAGGCAACAAACTACTAACATTTGTTTTTTAAATAAATGTTATTGTAATAC